GCAAAAGTGGGATCAGAAACTCATTGGGAAAGATGGTGGAAATGTGAAGCAAATTTATGAAAATATGGGCTCAGAGCAAAAGATAAGAAAATTTCAGCATAAACCCAGAAGAGAAAAGGCTTGTCTGAGCTCAAAAAAGTGAGCCTTTAGACAGAGACTGAAACAAGAGAGAGAAAGAGAGAAGGGATCCAAGGAGTATGCTGTCTTGGATACCAACTCAAAGCAGAGACTGAAAATTTCTGCGCTTAGAAAAATAAAAATAGTAAAGTTGAGTCAGTTAAGCATGGTGCAAATATTAGAGAAGGTAGGGGTAAATTTGGAAAAACATAAAAAGTTGTTAAGAGGTGCTGAGACGAAAGCAACAAAATATCATATTATATACAAGGATACAGTACGTAACTGGGACCCAGATTTCTGGTTTGAAATTACCGAAGTGCCCGTGTCCCTTTCAATGGGACCGTTGAGGCCTCCCGATTCCCCCCCTCTCCCCCCCAACTAAGCTGTCTTTTGGCAAGTGGTTGGCGTTTAATTTCCACCAAAAGGGGTGTTAAATGCTTAAATTAAATTTTTGGTAAGCAAATGAATGAGAAATTTATCTTAGAATATTCTTTGACCACATTACACTTCAAAAATACTTCAAAGGTGTCGCAAAAATTAGCCATAATATACTTTAGTTGTGTACTAACAGATGCTAATAGAGTTCAAACTCAGAATTAATTCAAAAGCCGTAATGCAGACACACTATCCTGACCAATACTTTACTTAAATCTGCTAATTATTTCTTAATATTATAAATAATTAATCTATGTGAAAAAGGAGGTAACCCCACCACATCAACATTCTGTCTCTTTCTTAAAGTGAGAGATGATGAGATTTGAGAAGCTGAATTGTAGAATAAGCCAATACAGCATTGACACGTTAGTAATCTTATTAAAACCCCATGTCTACTGCTTATCATGGAACTAGTTAATCATGACTCATGAGGAAGATATCTTCGGCATGGATGGGGAAAAAGTCTACCAGATCAATGATTGGATGAAGGATAGACAAGAAGCCACTATTAGTATTAGATGAATGTTTCAACTAGAACAATTATTTTATTTTGTGCCCCTATATTTTATTTAAATGTTGAGTTTGTATGCATGGAATCCTAGATTAAAATTAATTTTGATGGTTATGCTCTCTGTAATGGTCTTTCTTCTTCTATTCTACAATCGGAAGCTTTAGTAGTCTTGCAACATGCATTAACTTGAGCTTCATAATCTCATCTTAGAAATTTGGAAATTGAAGGTGGATCCAAAATTTTAATTCAAATCATTACAAAGAAGATTTCGGTTTCTTGTTCCATACGAACAACTGTTCAAGATATCTGGAATTTATTCCTACATTTTGATCATATAGAACTTCAACATATTTACAAAGAAGCTAATCAAGTTGTTGACCTTCTAGCTAAGAGGCCAGAATAATTCTCATCATGTATTTGGTTTAAATTCCTTCCTCTAACGTTAGTTTGTAAAATTTGATTTGTATGGTGGTAACACCATTCTAACTTATTTTTTTCTTTTTTCATTCATCTCCCTTTTGTAATAGGACCAAAAGCAATATGCCAATCTAATCAACAACAATAGTATATTAGCGGTGAGTATATAAATTAAATTAATTGTAAAGATTATGCAATGTATTATGTAGGTGATGTGTGTGCTCTCCAACCCAAAACATAAGAAATTAAGCATGTAGTAGGTCTGACCTTTATATTAATTCCAATATATTAAAATCCACTTCTTTCTAGATTCTCTGTCTTACCCTTCACCCAATTGATGTACACACAAAAAGAAAAAAAGAAAAAAGAAAAGGCTGGTAAGAAATCCAACCTCAAATTCGTACGTAACATCACATGATGAAGACAATGTTTTTGAATGCGTCCAAGCCAACACGTGTTCTTGGGGACTGGATTATTGTTCTGTTTTGCTTCATGCCAACATCAGATATTATTATCTCTCACCAACCAAAAAAAAAAAAAAAAATTGCATTTCAGCCTCTTAATCTCATTACTTAATGGCCTATCTTTTGTTTGTTTGTTTTTAATAGAAGCGCTAGTTTAAACCCTAAAAGAATGAAGATTTCTCACATACACTATTCATGTGTCCTAGAGATTCGAACTAAAAATCTTTTGTCCGCAAGTCAATCAGCGGTAGTCCTATGTTTTGGAGACCTTAGGTGAACATCTTAAATGAGCCATTCTACTCTATATGTATATTTATTTGAATTTTTTTTCAATAAGCTTAAAAAATATTATATGAACTCAAATTCACAATTGTAACATAAATTGAACAATTAATACGTAATTTACACAACAAATTTATAAAATGCATCAAAACATCACTTAAATATCACTCCTCTTGCATCTTTCGATTCAAAAGTATCAATTAACTTTACATAATCAAGTTTTTCTACCATGTATTTTTTAATTTCCTAATTGATTCAACTAGGTTAATTGATTTAAGCTAAGTTTAAAAAATAATTAGGTATTTATTGAGTATCCTTTTTTTAGTTTTGAATTGAATCATTGGGCAAGTTTTTTTTTTTTCTTTTTTCCTTTTTAAATGAATTGGCTTTATTGAGTTTCCTTTTTTCCAATTTTGAATTGAATGATTAGGTAAGGGTTTTTTTTTAATTTTATATATATATATATATATATATATATACACAATAATTGATTTGGGCCTAACATAATATTTATATAATATAATTTTTCTAAATAATATAGGTATGTATATATAGGGTATTAATTGGGGACCTAAACGGCCGTCTTGTCTGCTTGTGTCCAAGGCCTCCTCTGAGTCAATGCTCTTTTTTACTTGGCTAAACTTCATTAGTAATGGCTTATCTTTCATGTTTAAGGTGTGGATGTCTTTTTCTATATTTGTTCAAACAAGTTAGTGATAGTTTATCTACAGAATTCATGTAACTTGTTGGGTCATATATTTTTGATTTTGACTGCAGTCCTCTCAGCAAAGACAAAGAAGTCTTGGCTTATCTCATCTCCTCCAACAAAATTAAGACAGAATCTACAGGCCCATACCACCTATCCGAAAGAATGAAGGTGGATGTGGCGCAGAGCCGCTTGTTATTGACAAGAAAACAAGAAGAAGAAAAAAATACACAAAGTGTGACTAGTTTTAGGTCATATCAAATAATTCCAAGAGTATAAAATAACTACAATTTTTAATCCTTTGCGTCACTATAATACTGTGCACATTTTATTGGCTAATGAAGATAACATTAATTTAGGTGTGAAATATCGAAGAATATAGGAGAGAATGTATTTTTAAATAAAAATAATAATTGACTGAGTGATGATAGAATATAAATTACAAATGATATAGGGAAATATGGGTAACACTTATTTATCCAAAAATTTAATTACACTTTGCACAAATTATAACTTCCCTTCCATGTTTCTTCAATACCAAAGTGAATATTGGCGATCAAACCTTTTCTTGCCCTCCCTTCCCACATCAGAAACACTCCTAAACCCAACTTTCCTACCATGAGCTCTTGGAGGACTAATGTTAACCAGCTTTGAGAACATCCCACTCATAAAATTACCATCTGGTGCCTTCTCAAAATACTCTAAATCATCATAATCATCTGCGTCTGCATCCTCTTCGTCCTCGGATTCTAGCAACGAGCCTTTTTCTTGGATTGGAGGGCAACCCCAAAGCTGTCCTTCACTATTTTCACTTGTACTTGCTAGGAAATTGCAAGTCTTGTTATTGTAATCGCTATGTATTCCACCCGGTGAATAGCTCTCCATGGCTTCTAACTTTGTGGGTGATGGTTCTTGGTAACCCTTGCTAAGCTCATTCATGTCATTCCATACAGAACTTGTGGTAGAAAATGAGGCAAACGATGCTCTTGATGCTTCGGAAGATGATGAAGAGGAAGGAGTTAAGGATGAAGGAGAAGGCGTTGTGCTTCCAAACCCTTGGATTTCATTTGTTATTCTGAGAGCTTTCAAACGTGCTTCTCTGAGTGGTTGTCCTCCTCCTAGAAGGTTTTGGATTTGGTCTGATTTCTTTTGCATGCAAACACCCCAATTGAATCTTTCATAATAAAAATAAAAATAAAATCAAAGCGTAATAAAAAATAAAATCTTTAGTACATGGAATGGATAGAGAAATAAATGGACTATAATTCTAGAAATTACCCTGTCTTATCTATGTATTTAAATGTTCCCAGCTCTTGGATGACATCGATATCGCATTGAAATTCGTCAGCAAACTCTTCAGGACCATGTGTTAGTAAGAACTCTAGAAGTACCAATGCTTTGTAGGATTGCCTCCATTCTTTCCAATCTATGTTATATAACCTATATTAATTTTGTGAATGTATTAACCTTTCATAGAGCAATCTGCAATTTATCTTTCGGACGGTATAAAAAGTTGAACAAAAAAAAAGAGAAAAGAAAATATTACCTTCGGTGAAGGATATCAACAACTCTCCAATAGTCATCCATCTCAAAGGAGGCAGCAGCTATTTGAGTCATTGTTTTAGCATCAGGGCTACATGGATCACCATTTGTTGCTTCCTCAGCCAACCTTCATGACAAAAGTAGAGACATCGATATCAGAGTTGAATATCATCAAATCTCTCTCTCTCTCTCTCTCTCTCTCTACATATATACATACATACATGCATGCATGCATGCATAAGAAGGTATGAAGAGAAAAGGCTTACAGTTCAACTTGAGTAACATCAGTAAAAGTCAGCCTAGCAGTTTTGTATTTCTCTAGTAGAAAATTTGATGCCTTGTTTTTGATATGGTCCAGGAACAAGGTTCCCATAACTGATTGTAATCACGAGCGCTAGTTTGGAACTCTAAACTAATTTGTAAATTCTAATGGTATGCACAAAAAAGCTGGTAACAACAATCCAATCAACCAGACTTGAAGCAGAGGTTTCCTCAAAAGCAGATTTTAAGTGATTATTCAGAAATCACTAATCTAAAATGCCCTACACTGGGGATAAGGCCTCAACCTCACTTCTCTAAACCCAAAATTAAAGCTTCTTGATTTAGAAGAACACCCATGAACTTTTTTGAGATGGGGATTAGTGCAGGACCAACTATTTTATGGGAAGCCATGGTTATAGCTCAAATAGTGGAGGAGAGGTGCCCATTAAATATGGGGGAAAAGTACCATTGACTAATATTAGAAAGTTGACCAAATGTTGTCCATGATTTTTTTAAATAAATTCTTTTGAGTTTTACAATGTTATCCATATATATGCGTTTTTACCATGGACAGAAATGAATTTTGTAATCTTGACTTAATTTTTAGGGAAATCAGTACTGGCACCTGAACTTTTTCAGTTTTGTGCAATTACCACATGAACTAAAAACCCTTTACAATCAACTATCCAAACTTCACCCCGTTTTGTAATTGAGCACATCTATCTCCTTTCCGCCAAATAATAACATGTGACAAGAACTGAAAATGGCTTACTCTTCTTTTTTAGGAGGAAGGTGGGAAAAGCATCTCATAAATACCTTTCTCGATAGGTATGTATATATGTTGATGGATTAAATGGTTTTATGACGAGACGTACTCAGGATTTCAAAATGAGGTGAGTTAGATTTATCTTATGGGTGGATTGGAATAAACCCTTAAACTTATATACTAAATATAAGAAAAAAAATAATGATAATAAATTCACCTGGGCTGTAGCCTGGGGTTAGTCATCACTTAGGTCTGTCCTTATGCCCATGAAAAAGGGCACTCATGAAGGTTGGGTGCCAAACTGCAACCCTCTGTAAATTTTGGGTGGTTAGATGTTACAAAAAAAACTATTTAAGGTGGTAATTGCATAAAATTGAAAAACTTCAGGTGTCATTTATGAAATTTTCCCTGAATTACCATGTATTTTTTAAAAAAAATTTAAGAGAGAGAGAGAGAGATGTGAGGCTAGGGTTGAGATTTTTGATGAGGATGATATTTTTCTCTCTGCACAAGAATAGGGCGCCTCTCTATTAATTAATACGTAATTTATTGTTGTACAAAAGTGTGTGCAATGTCCTGGAATGGAAGACATCCGCAGAAACTTTTTGTAAGTCCTCACGCATGGCTTGCCACGTGATCTATTGCTTCCCGTTTCTCAACAACCTTTACTCATACATGCAAATTTTCGGATAATTAAGAAAAAGTTATACTGCAAAACCACTTGAGTTCTTGTCAGTTAATCCGGATTAACTTTTAAGTTGAACAATTTTATATCGTAAATCTAAGAAGTCAATTATATCGTGCACTTTAACCAAACATGATAAGCTTTGGAGGCTGAGATGATATTTAATCCAAATCTCTCCGAACTTGCCAGAAGAACTGCATATATGTACAACCGAGTTTCCATATTTTCGATCCCCATATAGTAAAAGTACCTAAGTTTAATTGAAAATAATATTTGATTTTCTTAAGTATTTCAAAATATGAGAAAAATATGCAATTCAAAAATTGTTTAATACATGTGTACGCAGTGTAGTACTTCTTCCATATAACAAATAAAAAGAAGTTACTTACATTACTAATTATATTTTTCAAAAATTGCTCAACAAAACAATTTGTCTTTTTTCTGCAAATTCCCTAGAAAAGAACAAAATTCGCCAAGATAGATCTACCTCGATGAAAATTTATCAGCAAAAGTCTATCATGTTGAAAATTTAATTGTCCCGACAAAAATATGTCGGGAAAGGTTGATCGTGTCAAAAATTTGTTGAGAAAGACGACAAATTTTCGACGGAGAACAAGATTTGCCAGGAAAAGTTTATCCCGACGAAATTTGTAAAGACCCTTCCGGACGAAAATTTATTGAGAAATAACAAAATTCGTCGGGATACGAGAAAGATTTTTTGCTGACAAAATATTCGCCAGCATAAACCAACTTGGTGGTTTCTGGCCATGTCTTGGACGACAAAGTATACTTTTTGCCGGGAAAAGTGGTCTCTCCCGACAAATAATATGTAGGGTAAATTACTCAAATGGTCCTTGAAGTTGTACTCAATTTACATTTTGGTCCCTCAATTAAATTATTAGTCCAAATGGTACATTAACTATATATTAATCGCTCTATTGGTCCTACCGTTACATTCTGTCAATGTTACTGTTAAATATGAGGGCAAATTGGTCATTTTGTATGTTAAAAATAAATAAATATTGAAAAATGAAATAAACTGTCTCTCTCTCTCTCTCTCTCTCTCTCTCTCTCATCAAAGTGGTACCAAGAACTGGAATTCCAACAAATTGCACTTAAAACCAGATGCTCCAGAAGTGTTGCACTTCCAGCTGAACAAAAATATTAACGAATTTAATTAATAAATTAATCAGTCAAAATAACTAAAGAGAGGGGGAAAAAAAAAGAATTTGAAAGTCTGTGCTCATATATTTGATCTTACTTGTAAAGGGCTGCGGTATTGGAGAGGAAAGGAATGGTGAAGTGAATGGTAGTTTTCAAAAAAGTAGTTGCCATGGAAACGTCTATGCATCCAGTAATATAAAGGCTCTGAAACTCCCACAGTACCAGTGTTGAAATAAAGCCGATTGTGTTCCACAAGGGAAGGTTTTGAAGATTGTGTTCCTTCTCTCTGTCTCTCTCTGTCTCTCTCTCTCTCTCTCCATTCCCCCATGGCCACCACCCTCAAGCTCCAACCCCCAAACTGTAAAATTGGTATAGAAGATATTGTGTCGGAATAATTATTCTATTGATTGTACAATATTCTTATACAGGGAGAACGCAAGCCTAACTAGGAAAATATACACAGCCTAACTAGGAAAAGAATTGTACAGCAATTCTAGGAAAAGTCAAACAATTACAAAGAAGGTTTTCCTATTCTAGTTCCCTTAGAATCAGGTATTGATTACTTTCCAACACTCCCCCTCAAGTTGGAGAGTGAATATCAAGAACTCCCAACTTGCCTAGCATGGATAAGAAGGGATCTTTTCCTAAGGGTTTGGTGAACATGTCTGCTAGCTGATGTGAAGAAGGTATGAACTTGGTAGAGATTGCACCATCCTGTATCTTGTCTCTGATGAAGTGACAGTCCATCTCTATATGACGAGTTCTATCATGAAAAACTGGATTAGCAGCAATGTGTAGTGCAGCCTTGTTGTCACAATGGAGAATTGAGGCTTCTGGATGTGGAAGATGTAGGTCACGTAACAAGCTTCGTAGCCAAGTGAGCTCACAACATGCTCCTGTCATAGCTCGATATTCTGCCTCTGCAGAAGATAATGAGACAGTTTTTTGTCTCTTAGTCCTCCAAGAAATTAATGAATTCCCAAGAAATACACAATAACCAGTCGTGGATCTCCTCGTCATAGGACACCCCGCCCAATCAGAATCACAATAAGCATGTAACTTCAAGTTATTTCCAGCTGAAAAAAATAGACCTTGCCCTGGTGCATTTTTAAGATACTTGAGTATTCTAAGAGCCGCCTCCATACGCTGCATTCGGGGTGCGTGCATAAATCGACTAAGCACATGTACTGCATATGTGATGTCAGGCCGTGTGATAGTGAGATATATCAGACGCCCTACCAATCTTCTAAACTGAGATGGATCTTTGAGTAGATCACCTGCATCAGAAAGTTTGGTGCCCTGTTCCATGGGAAAGGCTACCGGTTTTGCTCCCAAAATGCCACTGTCTTTGAGTATGTCAAGGGTGTATTTTCTTTGTGAAATACATATGCCCTGTTTTGAACGTGAAACTTCAATCCCTAAAAAATACTTGAGATCTCCAAGGTCCTTTATTTTGAACCGTGACTGTAGAAATTGCTTAAGCGATGAGATTGCCTTTTGATCATTCCCAGTTATTAGTATGTCATCAACATAAATCAACAAGGCTGTAAACGATGTACCTTTCTTGCATGTAAAAAGAGAATAATCTGCCTTGGATTGGATAAACCCAGCAGCTAGAACAGCTTCAGTGAATTTGGCAAACCATTGCCTAGATGCCTGCTTGAGCCTATAGAGTGATTTGTTGAGGCGACACACAAGATTCTCCCCCTGTCGCCGGAGACCAGGAGGAGGTGACATGTAAATTTCTTCATGGAGGTCCCCATGCAGAAAAGCATTGTTAACATCTAACTGGCTAAGGGACCAATTTTGAGCAGCGGCGATAGCAAGCAAACAACGTACAGTAATCATCTTGGCCGTGGGTGAGAAAGTATCATGATAATTAATCCCCTCAGTTTGAGTATATCCTTTGGCCACGAGGCGAGCCTTATAGCGTTCAATTGAGCCGTCAGAACGGTGCTTGATTTTGTAAACCCATTTACAACCAATGGGTTGTTTGCCGAGAGGCAAAGGAGTGAGCGTCCATGTGTTGTTGGACGTTAAGGCCTCAAGTTCAGAGTGCATAGCTTGTTGCCAATTGGGATCTGCAGCACCCTCTGTAAAGCAAGAAGGTTCCACACTACTACTGACAGTTGCAATAAAAGAAAGATGTGAAGGTGAGTAACGATGATATGAAATAAAATTACAGAGAGGATAACGAGTATCTTTGGGCAGGATCGGCGGCGAGGAAGACGATGATGCGGGTCTGGGCATTAGGACGTGATTAAGAACATAATCTTTCTGCCAAATAGGAGCTTGTTTGGAACGCTCAGAGACTCTGACAAGTGGATTGGTAAAAAGATGAGGAGTAGAAAGTGGAAGAGAAGCAGGTTGTTCTGGATTTGTAAGTGCAGCAGGGGATGATGTGGTGGGATCGGCTGTAGAAATAGGTGGGTCAGTAGGGTAAAAAGAAGAATGGTTGGCTGGAAGGTTAGGCGTGGTTGGAGAGATGGGATCATCTTGGCTTGAAAGTGTGAAGTTGTGCTCAAGGGAAAAAGTTGGGTTGGTTGGAGGAAAGGTATGCGGGCCCAAGGTTGGATGACATGGATCAAGGTCTGCGATGTGTGGTGTGCGTAGGACATGTAATTGGTCTAATGGTGTGGTTGGGCTGAGAGTGTGGAAAGGAAAATGGTGCTAAAAAAAGTTAACATCCCTATTGATGAAAATTTTGTGGGTGGTGAGATCATACAACTT